GAGAAATTTGCCGCGTTGGGAAAGATTTTTTTTCGGTTGTTGACTTTTCACAGTTTCTTTCCGCTGGTACTATATACCTGCCCAAGCTTGTGGCGCCGCCAAAGTTCTATACAACTACTATTACTGATAGTTGAAAACAGTGTTTGGTTCCCCCCTTCCCCCGCCCCACTCAACGGAAAATTTTTGGGTGAAAAACTGGTAGGAGGCTGGAAACTTGTAGGGAAGTGGTAGGTAGGTGTTGGGAAGGGGGTGGAGGGTAGTACTCACACCACCATTTGACACATCACGATGCTCTACCCTGGCTGCACTGGTTATCGTTGAGCTGCTGAAACTTCTCATTCAGTCACCGCTTGCCTCGACTTCTCTGTAGTGTATCCTTACTCTTTAAAAAGACCATAATAGAACTGTCAACCTATACAAGCTTTTGAACCAGTGGCCGAAAGATATCTAACCCCAAATGTGATGACTGATCTAAAGTTGCTGTCCAGCGATTAGCTATGGAGTGCTCTGAGTAGCAGTCGCTCGGCTCAAGCAATCTAGTCGCCATGCATCTAAAGGGGAAATCTAGATGATCGAACAACAATGGATTCCATGCCAACTTTTAGCGCACTCTTGAGTGGCTGCCAGGGTGAACTTTATCCCATCGTTTACAAAGTAGAAGGTTTTCCTGAAGTTCCCAGCGTGCTCAGCAAGCTTGTATGATGCGTTATTAAAACCAGCACCCAGGACTTTTTCTACAAAAAAAAACTGCTAAATCTGTTTTTGTAACATTTTTTTTGTGTGGCTGGTAGTATAAAATGTGTTTCAGTCAGGGTGATAACGTACGCGAATCTCTAGAGCCGCGCTGGCACTTGAAGATCACATTTGACGACACCACCTCGATGATGGCGCCATTACGAGAAGCGTGCGAAACAGTGGACTGTCGCCTTCCAACAGACTTTCCTGATCATCCTTTGCCGTACGATTTAGCGGAGAAAGTTTGTGAGCAATTTTCGGTACGTGATACCTGAAGAGAGTAGTTCTTTGTTGTGATCTCACTCCCGTCGTTACTGTAAGAAACGTTTCAGAACCATGGATTCTGTCGGAAACAACGTCAAGGCCATTGCCCTTTGCTTCATGATGTTGATTTTGCAATAGATTTAGAACAAATACGTCAAGAACGAAATAGGAAGAAGCGTAAGAGGAGGTGATTCTTTTGAATAGAAATAAATACTAAATATGTGTAACAGCAGCGTTGAGCAGCCAGACGTCGGCACCAAATCCCATCTTTGCTGATTCCAGGGCCAATTTGTGGAGATGGTGCAATTCCATCGAAATTCCAAGCGTAGAATATAATTAGCTGTTCGGAGGTGAATGTGGTGAACTGGGAGCTACATACTAGAGCGCTCGCTTGTCGCGCTCGACTTGGTACCAGAAGTTATCTGGCGGGACAGAATTACAGTCCAATACAGTCCTCATCATTGCGGGCAGGTATAGGGCTTGTGTCCAGCCAGTATCATGTGGGCACATCTGTTGACAACCGTCTCAGCCTTGTGCTGAAACACGTATGCGACAGAAATTGTAGAAAATGAGTAGTACGAAGGCCTATGACAGTAAAGGTCACTTTGCCCGCGTCAACAAACTGGTGCCAGAACGACTTGGGCACCGACGCCAAACCAGACCGCACTGACACTCCCCACCGGGTCCAAATCGCAATGGGGAAGCCACCGTCTTTCTTTTGCAAGACCTGTATTACCTCTTGTGAAGCTAAAAACAGGTGCGCCAGATTACCCTCTTTAGTCACAAGATCTTACGATCATTACCATTTCACCCTGCGAACTAGAATGTGTGTGCGCGTCTTGGGGCGGTAGATCATGCGGAAATAGCGGTACTCGGCTTGGTAGGGGCATTTTGCACTTCCTTTAGTTCCTCTTTTAATTCAGATCAACCAAGAGGTCATTTTTTGCAAGACCTGTAAACTCTTGTGAAGCCAAAAAATGGTGCGAGTGACCCTCTTTGGTCACAAGATCTTACCCGATCATTACCAGTTGGTCGGTACAGGTTTCGTTGAGTACCATTAGATGCCTCCACCTAGCTGAACTACGCCTCGAAAGTTCTGTCCTTCGTTTCTTGGGAGGCTATCTCAAGAAGACAGATGGCGACACAAGTGTTATTGACAGAAGCGGACATGGTAGACTTCCAAGAAACTTTCGCAGAATTATTGTTATTAAGGAGGTTCGGTTCTCCAGTGTTAGTTAGATGATTGAAAATACTTTAGATTCGATCACCTAAAACCAGACAGCATTCTGGAGAAGGAAAGACTGGAAGAGAAGGAGAAGGAAGCGCGCAGAGAACGAATTTCCGTCGAGGATCTGAAAAATAAAACCAAATAAACAAGAATAGCTGTAACTGGTTAGAACAACAGTTGTTTAATTGTAAAGTCGTAAATGTTCAAGAACTGTTGTTAGGCTGCCATCGTGCTGGCGTGGACGCATTCATGACCGGCTACGCGGCCCTTTTCCAGTGTCGCTTACGCCTTTCTCGGGAAGGGAAATTGGACGACCAGGTGGGTGCAATTGTCAATAAACGTATTTCATTGTATTCATGGTTTCCTTCTTTCCTTGCCTCAACAGTTTTATATTTAAGCACGTGAACCGGATACCTTTGTCTGGAAAGCAAGAGGCAATGATAATCCAATCGACCAAGTTCTCAGGAAACTGTACCAAACATGAAAATCGCTTTGCAGAAATTCAGTCAGCGAGGAACAGAAATAGTAGTGCTGTTATCTCATCTTCCCAAAGCTGACAGTAGCTTTATGATGCCCTTTCAACTTTTGTACCTCAATAGTACCTGCAAGTTTCTTCATGATTCTGATTCACTTTCAATTGTTTTTATAATGTTACACCTTCGTATGACGAATGAAATGGATTCTGTCGTGAACATTGCTTGTTGAAAGCTTATTGACATGTTTCTACTGTTGTGAAAAACAACAGCGGTGCAGAAACGACTGGCTGTTCCAGGTCGCAGATGTCGACCCAGCACAAGGGCAATTCATGGGTACGGCAGCGTTCAGAGTTCGCGTCGATGCGCTGTAACGCGCTACTATTGCAACTGTGCTCCAAGGCTATAGACGCGAACTCAGCCGCGTACGGGAATTGATCGGCGCCGTACACTAGTGGGGAACATTGATAATCACGCAGTCCGGTATCGATCGACACTTTCCAGGGCTGCACCGATCGATAACGGTCTACGCCTGCGTTCGCGTCTATAAGACTGGTGACAAGGCATCAGCCAACCGGGTGCTCTCTCGCTGGGGAGGTTCAGAGGTGTTTTCTCATTCTTCTGGTCGAGCATTCAGAGAAAGGAAAATAAGGAAGAGGGATCAGAAAGGGAAGGTGCAGGAAGAGGAGTTCCCACGGATCTGGTTGTGAAGGCAGTTGACCAGACATTGTTTAGACAGAGAGGTGCACCGACATTTCACCTGCCGTTCGCGCTCTCCCATCTGTACGCCAGCTACATCCCATCCTGAAAGGTCAGGTCGCTGTCTACCACCACCGAGTCGTGGAGTCAGCTAATGCCCAGAGGAGGTGATCAAATTCTATTATATGGGAAGTCGAAATCATATCCGCCAAGGTGTCAAGCTCAGAAAGCGTACGGAATCAGTGTATCAGTGGGAGATAGCAGACTAGCAAGTTACAGCGGTTCTCCAAGTATGCTGTACACCGTCTGCCACCTTGACGATCACTCAGAACATTTGAGCAGCTTCAGCTGCCAGGATAGTAGCTCATAATGGGCGGAGATCCCATGTCTTGATGTTGTCATGCTAGTTCCTGAAACCGGGTATGTGACAAGAGAATCGTAATTCTCCGCGCTGGTGAGCGTCGCGTGCGACGTCGCGCCACAAATGACGATGGTTCCAGGTAGTATGGCGACAACAGGCAATTCAGAACCGAAAATAGTCATGAATGTCTACGATGACGGGGTCTACATGAAGTCCGGTGCTCCAATCGACAGGTTAACACGAGTTAAGAAAACGCCGCGCGCGGCGGAGCGGCAAATTACGATTCTCTTGCCCGTCTCCCCCTGAAACCTGTCTTGCGAAGACAGATTAAAAGATTGAGCATGGCAGCAAAAAAGCATGAGATCTAAGCCTATTTTGACCTGCTATCCCGGGCGCGAAGCTGCTCCGATCTTCAGAGCAGAGAATAGGCGAAAAAAACAACTACGTATCAACATGGAAAATGAAGGAAGCGCAAACTAAACCCAGCTCACGCAAATTAAGCTGTAGTGTGGTTCGTCGCGGAAGGTGGGGCGTGTCAGGCGGGATGAGTTTGGCGCGGTGCCAAACCCGTTCTCCACCAGCTGTTGAAGCGAGCAAGTGACAAAACTGTATCATGTCGTTCGTATCACTCGTTTCCCAACAACTGTTGTCGCGTAACTGCTTCAACGACTGGCAGAGAACGGTTTTTCACCGTGGCACACTCATACTGCCTGACACGCCCCACCGTCCGCAGCGAACTACACTATAAATGCACGATCATAAAAAAACCACCAAAGGATTCAGATGCGCCGGGAAGATCGGCGGAATGGGAAACCCTGGAAACGCCTATTCTCCCAGTCGATACGGACCTGATCTTTTAGGGAGTGCGCCGGATACTTCGGTGTTCCGCTTGCGCGATTCTAGTTATCTATACGAAACAACATTTTCGCGGATTCGGTTCTTTCTACGGCCCACTAGGGCTGTGCTCATACCTTTCAGTTACGTCGCCGTAATAGACTAACCGGCGTACTCGTCGTAACGGACGTAGCAACGCAGTCGTCGTCGGATCAATACGTATCTAATCTTTGGGGCGCAGTCGTCTATTACGACTTAGTCGTGAGGTATGAACGCAGCGTAAAGTCTACTGTAAACAATGCTTTAGCACTGGTAATTGTTCCATCAGCGAGTGGGACCGCATTTCTTTCTGTCCCAATTTTCATTTTGCTACGATGCGCGCCAGAGTGGAGCTGCGAATACAATTTAAGAGATGGATTATCCAATTTTCGACTTCAACCCTGGGTCTAAACGCCTTTCATAAGCTATCCGCATTCATTCCAGAAGAATTATCAGGTCATTCTCGCGGTTTGAGAAGTCTACCCCGTACGGCGCTTATACACGAAGTCTTGAAGAAATAGTAAACCCGCGGGAACAAGGATCCATACGTCCTGACTTGGAGAATTTGAAGAATCGCAAAAAGGCGACAATTTTCGGTCAAGACCAGATAGGCATTGATCACTTAGCAACGCCCCTGTGGCATTTAGGGGTAATCGAAACCTGAAAATGGAATCCGATGAGCCCTTCTCCTCGAATATTGCCTTTGTGTGTAAAAATGCTGGTTCGCTGCTTACGATATGGCGTTTTTGCGCGGCTGCTTTTGGCGCGGCGCCATCTCGTTTTTTTTTCTTTCGATAAGCAACAACACTGCATTGTATCTTTCATATCAGTCGTCTTCCACCAGTTGCTGTCAACTTACCCGCTTCAACAACTCGTGGGAACGGGTTTGGCGCCGCGCCAAACGCAGCGCCGCATGGGTCCCATCATCCACAGCGAACTTGCCCGTAATTTCACAGGTTTCAAATGTCGCTGCGAACTTGAACATCTCCAGTCACCAGGCATGGTCGATGAGTGTGAGGTTGTTCCTTCATCACAACCTGGAAACGATGCAGTCATTCTTGCAATCAGCTACAGGTTAGCTCTACAGGGCTATAGATGTTTTCAAGTACGTAGATTTATGTGCGTTAATAAGTGAAGTAACATCTCTTGTGTTTACCTTTGCAAAATCTCCTTAAAAGCTTCGTTCGTACTCCGCGACTCGCGAGAATTTGCATTTCGAGCGAACTGTCATTTTGAGAGAATCGGCGTTTTGGGAAAATTAGCGTTTCGAGCAAATCGGCTTCTTAAGGGAATCGTCCTTCTGGGCGCCAATCGATACCTGTACAACTCTTCGCTCAAACGCCGATACTGGAACGCAAGATCGATACTACACTTTCTTTTTTTGGGAATTCGCTCAACATGCCAATTCTCCCAAGTCGTAAAGTATGAACGCAACCTAACGAATTATTTAGTGCTGGCTATCTCGGAGCTGCTTTGTACGATCAGCGCCACACCACCATTAAACTGCTTCGGGATGTCGGTGAAGACCATGAATTCCGCTTGTTGGCTGCTTGTATGTAATAGATTACCTCAGATAGTTTGAAAGCCTGATTGTAACCTTAGTAAGTTTCAGTGATCGAACAAGAAGAACCAAGAACTGTTCTTTCCAATAAAGCACAAGACATCCGGCTAGTTTCCTTCATTTGCATACATTGTGAGTAATCCCCCATTTTAATCATAATGTCGGTGCTAATGTATTTCGGTGAGGGGACTACTTCAGAGCTTTTGAGAGATTTCAAGTAGATTCAAGTGAGTCGCTTTTACCAAAATCCGCCCCACTGTAGAACCCCCTCCCCACCCTGCGTTCCAAAGCCGCACGCCGTTCACGCCAACCGGGTGTGTCAGTGTGGTGGAAAACGTCTGGAGGGCAATGCTGGAAGCAGTACTATATGGCAACTGGAATGTCGCAAACTTGGAAACCCGACCTATGCACGCGAAATACGCTAGCAGCGAATCCTCGGGCTGCGGAATCATTCTTGTCTCCATAGCGCCACCTGCGTTTCTTACCCCAGCCAAGACTTAGGCTAAGAGCGCAGATGGTTAGGGTCGCCGCGGATTAGAGCGCGTTCAGACTTCGCGATCGCGCGATCCGGATCGCGCGATCGCTGTGATCGCGCGATCGGATCGCGCGATCGCGCTACTGTGGGTGAAATTACACCGGGAGGGGGTCATGTTCGTTCATGTTTATTGTTCCTGTTCTTTTTTCCTTTTCCTTCTTTCTTCCTTTGTTG